GGCTCATTGACTTTTAAAATTTGACAGACGGGCCGCCACCTGGTGTCGAAATGCCTGTCATTACAAGTCAAAATCAAATGAATGCAATCATTCAATCATTCACATCAAACCTTAATTCTGTACCAATCTTCGGCGGGCCGGATTAAAAAGACCAACGGGCCGGATGTGGCCCGCAGGCCGTAGTTTGCCCACCCCTGTGTTAGAGCAATCATGGCCAAACAAATCCAGTCAGGGTTTTGCTGGCTTTAAAAAGGCTTTGTCGGACTAGCCACAACTTCATAGAAACAATCCTTGGTTCCATCTGTTGAGAAAGGTATATAGGTTTTTCCCCCCAATTTTTTTTATTAATTTTTAAAAAACAAACATATACAAACAAAACACAAAACATTAAAAACATAAAACATCTTTTTTGAAAGCAGCTTGATCCCGGGTTACATCTCTTCGTAAAGACATAAATTCAAGTTCATGCTCACTTTTATATACCATTCCATATCTTATTACCATTCTACATTTTTTATATAGCTTCTCCCCTCTTTTCACTCTCTTAATTCTATTTTATTTATTTCATCTTAATTTAAATCATTATACTTATATCCTTTGTCTGTCCTGTTTCAGCTGTCTATTATCTTTTCTCATTAACACAAAATTTCTCCTGTTATCAGTGATTGGAGTATGACGCCTTTATATCTTTCCCCTAAATTTAACACTTATACATAACTTTCATTCGGATTCTGCTTAGTACATTCTAAAACTATTTTAAGAAAAGAAAAAATTATAAATATATAGTATAAATATATAGTATAATTAAAACAACAATCCATACCAATTGAACTCTATTATTAAAATTAATATTAATTTAAATCTTAAACATTTTACACATTCCTTTTCAAATAGGTATGATGCTTCTATGGGAACAGTTATAAATTTTGCGGTCTCCCTCTCATGCTCACTCTGAACTTCGCGCGACCAAAATAAAAAGATCGCCCACCGTCATGTTTGGAGCTTCCGCATTTGGAGCTTCCGCCGCCGTTTGGAGCTCCAAACAGCGGCAGTGCTCCAAACACGAAGCCGGTTGCTAAAGAGCCAGAAAGCAGCAAGGACGCCAGGTGGAAAGGACAGGGTCGCGATCACACGGAGATGTCCAAAGCGCAGAGCGCACATAACTAAAGGCGGCGCACGCAGTTGGCTTGGGGACTACAAGGCAGCATCTGCGCCTCTTCCCGGGCGCGTCTCTAGGCTGCTTCCGGAGCTACGGGATGCTCTCCGTTGCCTACCAGCCCTTCTTCCTTGGGCTCCCTGCCGTGGGGTACACCCACTTCCTCCTGAAAATTACGCCTCGCAACTCTTCTCTCCCTTTCCTCTCGCTCCAAAAAGATCGCCATCGTATCCCGCCGATTCGGGCTTCCAGCCACGTTGTGATCCACTAGTGAGGTTGCCATCTCGGATGGAGGCATCGCAGTCTCCCTCTCTTGCTCGCTTTGAACTTCGCGCGGACCAAAATAAAAAGATCGCCCGCCGTCATGTTTGGAGCTGCCACTTCCGCGTTTGGAGCTCCAAATGGCGGCGGCACTCCAAACACGGAAGCGGCAGCTCCAAACGTGGCGGCGTAATGGGCAGAAGGGAAAGCAACAGCGGCGGGTGCCAAAGGTGTCTGTAGCAAAGGTGGGAGTAGGGAGCTCTCTGTGCTTGGACATGATCGCCCGTTAGGAGCGGCTGGTGGCGAGGAATTCCGGCCCGCCGGGCGCTCCTAACGGTAAGTCTCCCCGCTCTTCCCCCTTATTTTGCATATTTTAAAATAGGCCTAAATTTGGTGGGGAGGGGCTTAATTTGATTTTATGCCGAAAAAACATGCTGGGCCTTCCTATTGGTGGAGGCCGTATTGTTGGAGAAACACGGTACATACATACATACATACATAATTATTTTAATGTTTTAAGCTACCCAGAGTCACTTTGCAGCAAGACTGGCAGCAAACAAATTAAATTTACTTCAATAAATAGGTTACTGACTGCAGTATTTTGTCAAATCCAAGGGCTTTCAATGGAAATTAAATATAACTTTACGATGCAGAAAATCCAGCACTGATTTTATTTTTTATTTATTTGCATTATATCAAAGGTTTTAGTCAAGAGCATACAGCCTCTGCAAAAATTAAGGCATCCATTCTGCCCCTTAAAAACTATCCCCAAATCCTTTAAAATGCAGAATAACGGGTGGGCCACAGATGTTAAACACCAGAGATATTACAAAACTATAATTTTGTATCCCCGGTTATGAGCAATCGATACCAAACCCCTGTTCAGGAAACATAATTCTGTCCTTCAGAAGGCTCAGAGTAGTTCATGTTTGACTGTTTTAGAATGCAGTGACGTTTGTGTGGTTTTTCCCAGGAGCGGCCGGTATTTTGAGACTTTTCTCCTTCATGTGGAATTTCTGGTGTTTCACGATGTGCGACCGGTGAGTGAAGCACTTCCCGCACTCCAGGCATTTGTAAGGTTTCTCTCCCGTGTGGACTCTCTTGTGAGCCAAGACGTTGGATCGGTCTGAAAAACGTTTCCCGCACTCGGAACACATGTAGGGCTTTTCTCCCGTGTGAACCCTTTTGTGCCTGGCGAGGGAGGAGCTGTCCGCAAAGCATTTCCCACACTCGGAGCATGCATATGGCTTCTCTCCCGTGTGGATGCGCTGATGCTTGACCAGCCCTGACCGCTGGGCAAAGAATTTCCCACACTCCAAGCAGGTGTAAGGTTTCTCGGCTGTGTGGATGCGGCAGTGCTTCACGAGAGACGAGGGCCGAGGAAAACATTTGCCGCACTCCAGGCACTCATAGGGTTGTTCTCCCGTGTGGACCATCCAGTGACTCACGAGGGTCGAGTGCTGGTCAAAACACTCCCCACACTCGGAGCATTTGAATGGGTTCATCCCTCTGTGAATCCTCTGGTGAGCCACCACGTGGGACCTGTCTGCGAAACACTTCCCACACTGGAGGCACTTGTAGGGTTTTTTGCCCGTGTGGGTTCTCTGGTGCCTCACGAAGGCCGGGTGGTCAGCAAAATGTTCCCCGCACTGCAAACATTTGTGTTGTCTCTCTTGGAGGTGAACCTTCTGGTGGCTCAAAAGGCCCAACGCGTGAGCAAAACACTTTCCGCATTCCAGACACACGTGGTGGTGGTGGTGCCCATCGACAACCCTGCCCTGACAGTGCGTGGCGAGAGCAGGGGACCATGGGAAACTCCCCCTGCAGTCTAGGCACTCACAGGCCTCTTCTTCTGGGTTCATCCTCCAGTGGTCCATGAAGGTAGAAGATCGCTGAGCCTGTTCCTCACACTCCACACATTCATAAGGTCTCTCTGCGGTGTGGATTCCCTGTGGCGTTGTGGGGCCTGACCAGCAAGTAAAAGCGTTCCCACAGGTCTCACACAGGAAGGACTCCTTTCCCACAAGAAGTTTCTGGTGCGCCTCATTGTAGTATTTGTTGTGCAGCCGAGGAAACAACCTGTTTTCCACAGAATCATCTGGTGGAATAAAAGACAAATACAGTTTGTCTTATGACCACGGTTGAGCCCAAATTTTCTGTTGCTAACCGAGACAGCTGTTGAATGAGTTTTGCCCCATTTATTACCGTTCTAGTCATAACTGTTAAGTGAAACTCTGCAGTTAAATTAGTTGTTAAGTGAATCTGGCTTTCCCATTGACTTTGTTCATCAGAAGGTCGCAAAGGGAGATTACATGATCCCAGGACATTGCAACTGTTATAAATACATGCAAGTTGCCATGCCTCTGAATTTTGATTACGTGACCGTAAGAATGCTACAACAGTGGTAAGTGTGAAGAATAGTTGTAAGTCACTTTTTCTAACGCTGCTGTAACTTTGACAGTCACTAAATGAATGGTTGGAAGTCACAGACCTATAATGATCATTGCTAGGGTTAGAATAACTTGGAAAAGCCGTCAGTAACATGAGAAAACATTACAGTCTAATTCAGAATTTTTGAAGTTCGGCAACTTTGAGGCCTATGGATTTCAACTCCCACAATTTCCCCAGACAAGTTTGAGAATTCTGGGTGTTATTATTTTATTATCTTTTTATTATTTTCTTTTATTCTTCTTGTTTTTATATGATGCTTTTAGATTGTGTGAGCCGCCTTAAGTCACCCTGGGCAAGTAGGCGGCAATATAAATTTTCTAAAATAAAATAACTACTAGATTAAACAGGCTCAATTGTCTGATTACTAAACTTGTACCTGCATTGGCGTTAGATATCTCTGTGTCATCCAGTTTGGAGATTTCTGGCAGCCACGGCTCTTCCCCATGTTCTATTTGAGAGATAAGGGCAGGCTTGAGGGCTAGAAAACCTGAAGGCAAAGTAGATATGGAAGAATGTGATCAAGCAGGTCAGTTCTGAAGGCCAGGAGCAGGCCTGCTTGCTGAGCCTAGTTCAAAAAAATCAAGATGGCGACTGATAAAAAAGCGGGTGGAGCTTCCCTCACGCCATTGTGTATGCCATCTTTATTTATTTTTTTAACCATATCCTGAAGCCACTCCATGCAGAGCAAAACACGGCAATATGATAAGAGATTGAAAAATGACTTGTCATTTTTTTACTGCGAGTACACCGGCCCTAGTAAAAAATTAAATTCTATTGCCAGCTCTCAAGAGAAAGCGTGTATCTATCCAAACACATACATAACACACATATACACATGCTATATACATATATACCTGCACCATACATGTATGTGTGTATGTGTGTGTATATATGTGTGTGTATATATATATATATGTATATGTTTTCTGAGGTTCTCGCGGGTATTTGTATGTGGATCTTTGGTTATTCGGGTTTTCTCCCGCGTAAGATTGGAAGTATCTAGGCAACGTTTCGATGAAGTCTCATTCATCATCTTCAGGCTTGTGTCTTCGGCTCTGTGCTTCTTACTCTGAGAAGCACAGAGCCGAAGACATAAGCCTGAAGATGATGAATGAGACTTCATCGAAACGTTGCCTAGATA